GTAAGGACACGGAATGCCGGTCTTCTTCACCTCTCGAGCAGACATCAGGGCGTTAATTTTTCTTTCGAGATCCTTCATCTTTTCGGCCTCATCTATATCCTGTTTTGGACAATTTTCGAGAGGAATAATACGGCCACCCCCAGTATTATCATCATTGGTGGGTCCACCCCCAGCGTCGTTATTTTTAGTGGGGCCCTGGTAATCGTTATATCCGACGGCTTCTAGCTGAAGCTGAGCTATTCCCGAATTGATTCTTCTTCCTGGGGAGAAATCAGGGTTGGAACCACTTGAAACAATCGGAGATTTTCCCTTATCAACCATATTGACGGTAACCTCTGGGAATTCATCATCTCGAACAACCGATCCTCCTTGGTGGAAACGCCTCGATTTGGGCTTCGTCATTCCATCGGAGATTCTCTCGAATATCGAGACTCTCTGCGGAGCGGTCTTGGGGCAGCTACACGTTGATATTACTGCCCTGATAATTTTGATATACGGACAATGAGAGTCCGTTTCTCGGGTACCTTTCTTTCGAGATTTATTCGTACCTCCAGCCCGATAGTACAACTCATCGACGTTGCGGTCGGAGTAACCTATCGGCTGGTTACATAGATTCTCAGGTATAACACGTTTGTCTGTCTGACGTGTTTTCTTCTGAGTAAATATTGCCTTGTTGGCATCTACGGGAGTACCTTAACGGGCTCCTGATTTTCTGCATGCACCGCCAAGCGGGCCGTTGCAGAAATCAATTTGTTAGGAGGTCGCGTACGACCCCCAGTCCGGATGTTGGCTCGAAGCTCCTTCAACGATCTCCAGCTTTCCTTAACAAGCGCTTTTCCTCGATTCCCGGGTAGGGCACCGATACGATCCTTCAGAGGAATCCTAAACTTGGGGAAATCCATGCTGCGGTAGGGCTTTACTGGAGGTTCGGGATCTAAAGTTGACGAAGGCCAAAAAGCAACGTCGCCTGCTTTTGCCTTAGGCGCTGATTTGGCTTTTGGCACCCAAACTTGTTTGGATCTCGGCGATCTCTTAACTGCCTCTTCCTTTTGCATTTCTTGTGCTTTTCGCACAAGGGTCCGGACATGCGCAAGCAAGGTGCGGCGCTTCTGGATTCGCTCCTCGAGAGTAGAACGTTAATTGGATATCGAGAGGAGGATTCCGATGCTGGTCGTGGCGACAGATTAGCCACTTGGCGCTTTCTGAGCTCCAGATCTGCTTGGTAATGGAGACCATCCATCTGATCCAAAGCCTTGGCGAATTGGCACGCAAGGCGTTGTCGTTTCATTTGACGTGCTCTCTTTGATAGAGTTGGCGCGCCTTCAGCAGTCGACTCCTTAATCGTGAAGGAGTTCAGATCTGCAAATTTGGCTTCATTGAACGCCGGTGGATCATTGCAAGGTGCAACAGCAACAGCGGCGGGGAGATCGTCTTCTTGGATCTTCAGATCTGAAGACCAGCAGATCTTTCTGGAGGAGGAGGCACTCTTGCACTTGCCAGGAGAGGCGGATCTGGAGGAGGAGGAGGAGGAGACGTACTCCTCGAACTTTTGCTGGTCGAATTCATATTCGACCTCTTCGAGCACTGGGATCTTGATCGTCGGCTGCGGCACGACAGCTTCGGCGACGAAGCTGTTGGCTCCCACTGTGGTCGCCAGTTTGTTTGCGGAGAAAGTTGCTATTTCCATTGCTATCAAATCTATTACAACTTTAGTCATTACAATAAACTCGAATGAAATAAAAAGTTGATCTTTTTATAAGATCTCCTTACACAATGAAAATAAAAAAAGTTTACAACTTTATCAAACAAACGCAGAGATCGTTCATCGGTCTTCTGCTTGTGTGGGTGTCTTTGCCTGTCCGGGGTTTATCCGTGAACCACCGTCGATCAGATCTGATTGCTGAAGAATTGGGCAGAGCTTCGTCTATCCACGAAGGGATCGAGAAACTATAGCTCTTACGAATCTCTCTCTCTTGCGTTGAAGAACTGGATCCGATCTCTCCTCCTCCTCTCTAAAATCCGTGCACCTTCAGTCTTCAATCCGGCAGGGCTTCGCCTAATCTCCAAATTCCAGATCTGAAAAAAATGAGGCCTAAGGCTTGTATTTATAGGCATGAGGGGTTGCGGAGCGGTTAAAACCGCTTTAGGGGGTCAAATCCGTGTTGGGACACCCTTGGGGTGTCTTGACTTAGCCGAGATACCGTAGGTGCCTCGGTTCAGCTCTAAGACGTTTTCAATGCCCGTTTGACCGTTTTCGCTGTAACTTCTTCGTCTGAACCCTGATTTGAGTGATTCCAAATGCGTTGGAAATCCGACAAGGAGTTCTATCAGCTCCAATGGTTGGATCATCTGTTGAATGAATGAAGCACGAAGGGCATTGTTCCTTTTGTAAACACCGCGGGGCTCTCGATTAGCCCGTACCTTCGTTATTCCGAAATTCTGTCGGCTCACGTAGTTCGTCGATTCACTTCAAGCGTTCACCGACGTCAATCGAACTCCTGTGAACCGGATAGTGACGTTCATCGTCGTTCCTTAACACTGAGCTGTTCGTAGAGACCTATAGGCGATTTTCGATGCCTACAACTTCTATACAACTTTTGTTATTTATTATAATTGAAAGAACGTGAAAGAAAATAATAACAATCAATTTCTAAAAAATTCAGAATAATTCTGGACCTATTACTAATTTTCCATGTATTACTTTAATCTCATCAAAATATAAAATTAAACAATTTAAAACAATACAATCATGTCACATGTATAATTTAAACAAGTATTTCGAAAATACAATGATACATTATCAATCAACAAGAGTTAAATAATCTTTTTCAACACGAGAAAATAAATTATACATGTGTATGGGCTTCAGAACAAATTCTGCAACTCTTAAGGGTTAACTAAAAAATAACCACTACTTTCAAATGGCTTCCAAAAACAGTTTCTGGTTTAAACAGAGGGCTGAAACTAATTTTACAGGAAAAAAAATCAAGTGGACTTCAAGATAGTTTCTGGGTCAAACAGGAGTTTCATAATAATTTTATAGTAAAATTCAAATTATCAGGGTTTTGGGTTTGGGTTCTGTTTGCTGGTGCGACCCGTTTAATTCAAACTTTAAGTCTTAACGGGTTTGGGTTCACAACCCTTTATGAAAACAAATACACTAAGAGTTTATCTTCTTCAAAGAAGATTTAGGGTTTGGGCTAGGGTTGTG